ACGGCACGAATTACCGGGTACGGCTTGAAATTTTCGCGGGTACGGCACGAATTTCCGGGTACGGCAAGAATTTTTGAGCGGGTACGGCTTGAATTTCCGGGTACGGCTTGAACGGAGTTTGATGGGGGTGATCAGCGGTAAAAGTAATACGGGTTTCCCCTAAGTTTCTATGAGTAATGGAATTACTTCATGATGATGATTTATTGAGATGCCCTTTAGCCCCATGAGGGGCTAATCTTCCAGGGCTCATTAACAGTACAACACATAAAATACAAGCACTGAATACATATAATCATTGCAATTACACATTAAAATAATTGAGGTTGAGGCCAGAGGTCATTTAACTAATTATGACTAAAATCAACAATAAAACTTGTGAGTTACTAAATTGCTTCGAATATATACAATATTGTCAGGGTAAGCCTTTAAGTTCCATAAAGCTGACGTGTCATTTTCCTGAACTGCCTCTCATCAGCTGCTAATACAGTAGTCTTAACTTCACTCGGTAATGCGTTCCACATCTTTACAGATCTGTAAACAAATATCCTCTTTCCACTATTGTTGTTAGGTTTGAGCAATGAGTAGTCGTGCACTGATTGCCTAGTGGAATACCTGTGAGACGCATGAACTGGTACCAGAGATTTATAGATCTCCTGTGGCTCACTTGTGGTTACAATCTTGAAAAATAACTTAAGAGTACTTAATAACATAAGTTCATTGGGAACCAAATAATTCAGCCGCCATTATTATACGCCATGTGAGGGGTCAAAGTCGAACAACGGCACAGACCAGAGAAAGCTCTTGTGTGCTAATCCAATTTGGGGACTCAGGGATACAAAGTACACATGCCCGTAGCCAGGGGGGGGGGGTTTAGGGGTTCGGAAGAACCCCCCCACAAGGCTCAAAGGTCCACTTTTTGGTCCACTTTTTATGTAAAGGTCCACTTTTTGGTCCACATTTTATGGAAAGGTCCACTATTTGGTCCACATTTTATGGAAAGGTCCAAGATTTTTCTTGAAAAGATGGACTGGAATCGTAGAAAAACTGCTCCTTTTGTCATTGAATAAAAATCTATCTCTGATTTTTTGTTGGAATTCCTCTCAAAAATGCACGAAATGCCATTTTAGAAGGTTCATTTTTCAAAATTTTCCGGGGGAGCATGCCCCCGGACCCCCCTAGGAACCTCGCGCCTTCGGCGCTCGCCTCGCGCCTACGGCGCTCGAGGTCCCCTCAAGCAGTGGGAAGAACCCCCCCATTCGAAATCCTGGCTACTGGCATGGTACACAAAACCTGCTTCCTGCGAATAAACACGCTTCGGTGGACATCATGGCGGCCGCACCTAACAAACAGGCCGCAACAGGTTTCAATTTAGACAAATTTTGCGTCGAGAACTCACTTCACCAGAAAGTTGTCGACTATCTTAAGAACGAAGAGTTCACAACGCCGGAACTTTTGACTTGTTTCGGCGAAGAAGACAAGGAGTGTTTACGTTCGGACGGCGTAGGGAAGGCCCACATACGGAAACTTGAAGCTGCTATCAGAACATTGCAGGTGCCCCCCTCCCAACATTCCCAAGGGCCAGGGCATGTAGCCACCGACCAACACACCCCTGAAGCCAACGAAGAGTTACTACCAACACCGTAAGTACCATTTTGAATATTCTCCAATTGTTTGGCTTATAAGAACAAAATGGTCGATGATTGTAAGAAAACCCTGTTATAAGTTAATGATGTGCACACATTGATGCAGTATCGTCGGTCTTGTAGGACCATGAATGAACAGTACAACTTCTAATCGAATGCATTTTTTGTTGTTTTTTTACGCTTCAAACGTCTAAGATCTGTGGTAAGTCTCTGTTTTCCTTACTCACGTTGAATATACGCATTGTATGTATCTGTAAATGAAAATGAAAGGGGGAGGGCGCAGGTGACGCAAATAGGGAAGTACTAAGAGGAAGGCAAACAACCATGGGAGGGGCAAAATGGATGACAGGTATATGAAAATATGGCCCAGCATCCCTTCTAAAATTACATCAAGTATCATTTGTACAAATTTTACCATTAATTCACGCAAACTGCAAGCCTTCTACACCGCAACACTTTCAAGGTCAATTGTTGATCAACGTAGTGAGTTAAGGACAGAAATACGGGCTCCTGCTAAGCTAATAGTTATACGCGCATGAAATGACAGGAAAACGATAGAGAATCTCTGCTTCCAGAACTACTAATATTTTTAACAGATACTAGTGTTTTTGTTCTGTTATGTATCTACTGATTTTCTGTAGAAGAGCTATTGTGAAGAAATTTCCAGTGTAAATGATATTACTGTATCAGCACTTTGTGAGTAAAAAACGAAATAGAAGCATGTAAATGACATTTTTACACAAATGGTGTGAAAACAAGTCTTTATCCCACAGACACAGTACGTGCCTTCTCTAACAATGGTATTGCAGCTACCATTTCACCTCCCCCCCCCCTTCTCCGGTGCCCTATGGTTCTATTGTTTGCGTACATACCTGTCGCTCAGGCTTATTTGGTCGTGTGTTGACCCTTGAACTCAATGCATTCAGAAGGCGGCATGTTTTACCCAAGGCTATACCTTCCACGCACTGGTAAAGACCAATTCACTCATAGCCATCTTCAGATGTGGAAAGATAAATATCACCCGCAAGCGATGAATTAGCGATTTGGCTCTCTTTTGTGGTAATTGTTGTAAAAGTAAACAACAGCAAGAAAACGCTAACATAAACAGAAATTAACACCATTATGTTAAAAGTCACATAGCATACTTGCGTAGAAAGGACGTCGCAATATTACGTCCCGCTACAAACCATGTAAATCAGGCTCAAAGCTGACCATTGAAATTACAAACAGGGCAATATGTATTTGGTAGTTAGTGTTTGTATGCGCTCATACTTAAACTATTTCGTACTGACGTCATCAATATCCTACACACCTTTTGTCACGTAGTACGTAGTACAGAAAATATGTTTTCTGTGTGATTGAGAGAAATGTGTTAAACAAGATCAAGTAGATATTGTTGTAAATCGACAATTTGTGAATTGTCATAATTAGATTCTGTAGGGTGGCCCAGTGAATATTGTGTACACATCACGGTGATCATATTGCATAAATTTGTCAACAGTCATTCTCCTCACGACGCCACGGGTCATGTTGCTCAAGATATGCGGCAGTATGAACCACAGAGGCTGGAACCTGAGTCTATCTCCACCCAAAAGCCAGTGCCAAAGCCAAAACCAAAACCAAAACCAAAGCCAAAGCCAGCCATTCTTCCTAAACCTGTTCGAGGGCCCCCTCCTGCTCTGCCTCCTAAGCCAAAGAAGTCCGTGTCGTCTCAAGAATTGACGAGCGAGACAGATGGACAACCTATCCCAGATGAAGCGACGCAGTTACACGAAGCAGAGCCTGTCTCCGAGCCCCCTGCTGCCCCCGTACCAGAACCGTTGCCTCATCCGAACCGCAGAAAGCAATCCAGCACGGACCAAGGACAGCAATCAGCAGCCGAAGCAGATAATATCCCCGAGAAGAAGATGTCAATCCAAGAGATGACACCAAGCGATGTCAAGGAACTTTTTCAAAGTGATCCAGAAGTAGAAGTATACGGAGAACTATTTCGAGAAAATGAGATCGACGGAACAACTCTTCTGGAACTGGACGACAAAATGCTGAAAGAAGATCTTGGGATAAAAGCCTTGGGGACCAGGATGAAGATCAAGAGGAAGATTTCTTCACTGATGAATCTGTATGGAGCCAAGCCCCAGGCAAAAACAACTGGGACAATCTCCTCAAAACCTGCTCCTGTTAAGAACTTTAGGGTAGAGTACTATGACGACACGTCGGTGAAAATTGCATGGGATTCATCGGAGGAAGCGGTAGATGGGTACAAGCTTGAAATTACGAAGATAACAGAGCCAGTTGTCGTAGTGCAAAGGCGAAGGTTGTCACGAGAACTGACGTCGGTATCTTGCAGTTCCCTACAGGAGAGCACAAGATACACCATCAAACTAGTGGCCCTATCTGGGGGTTCGGAGAGTGATCCAGTCATTGAAACCATCTGCACAAGCGAAGGATACACAGACACCATCCCTAACCGAAGAGAAACGGACACCGCACTGAGCGATCAGGCAGGTTCGTCGAGCCTTGATTCCCTGACTACCGGACCATTATATCAGCACCTACGAAGCGAGCGGACACCATCCATTCACAAGGGGCCTAGGTATGAAACTCCGGTGGTCTTCTGGAATTCAAGTCTCGGACAGAGTTGGTCAAGTCTCCCTGAAGTCATCCAGAGCAACGTCAAGTACGACATGACCACAAAGCAACGGCAACTTCAAGAGGCTATCTTTGAAGTCTTGAAGACGGAGGGGTCCTATCTTCACAGTATGACCGTCTTTGTCGAGCATTTCATGTCAGATGAGGAATTGAGAAGTTCGATCACGCCCAGTGAATACAAGGCACTGGTGTCAAATTCAAGAGAAGTATTGAAGGCAAGTCAGCTGTTCTTCAACGACTTGAAGGCCAGGCAACAAGAAAATGTTGTCATCACTGATGTTTGTGACATCATCGCCAATCACGCCAAGAAGGGTTTTATGGTTCCCTACAAGAACTACTGCAAGAACCTGCCTCATCAGGAGAACACCTTAAAGTCACTTACTGAAGGAACACAGAGCCAGGAACTGAATCAGAATTTCTGTGATGCCCTGAAGAAACTGGAGCTCGATGAAAGGTGTGGGAAATTGCCATTCAGTTCGTTTCTGCTGCTACCGATGCAGCGCATCACTCGGTTCCCGCTACTGGTGGCACGGATCATGAACTATAGAGAGATGGACACGGAGCTCTTTGACAAGGCTTTAGAGGCACTGACAGCGGTGAGAGAAGTCTCCAAGCAGTGTAACCAAGCCACCCGCAAAGAACAACAGATGATGGAGTTAGAAGATCTCGTCAAGAAGCTACACTTTGACAAAGTCAATCCAAACTTCTCACTTCTGAACAAGGAGCGGTCAATCGTCAAACAGGGTGAACTAACATGGATTCCAGGAAGAGGAAAGAAGACGAAGATTCACGTCGTGCTCCTGACTGACTATCTCTTGGTGACAAAGAAGAAGGAGAAGATGGGCAGTGTCTTCAGCCTGAGGAACTTCTGCAAGCGGGATCGCGTGAACGTACGTGAGATTGACCGGATCTATGACAGTTGTGAAGATCTCTCAGTTGCCAAGAAGGAGCAGAAAGGTTTCATGTCCTGGTTCTGGTCTAAACCAGTAGAAGAGAACTTCAAGTTCAGTGTGACTCTCCTCGAGGACTGCAAAGGGAAGCAAGAAGAAATGGTGTTCGCAGCCAAGTCTCCAAGTGAGCTAACACGTTGGGTTGAAGCGTTCCGACAGCTGGCTACAGATGAGGACGGAGGGAGGGTCTACCCGAAAGAGAACTGTCCTATTGTTAGAGTCATCCTCCGCAGGGATCCAGAGGAGCCTGACGAGCTGTCTCTCGAAGAAGGAGACACCCTGTTTGTCTTGCGTAAGAAGCCGGACGGTTGGTGGTTCGGAGAGACCATGCACGATGAGAAGCAAGGATGGTTTCCGGCTACGGTCGTGGAAGAGGTCAGGGAGAGCGACCACTTCCAGGGCAAGGAGCTCAAGAGAGAATTCAGCAAGAGTCAACTGAAACTAGACAAGGAAACAGGCCTTGGTGAGTTGCTGTGTTTGATATGCTTTATTTGTTTTACCTCAAACTGAACTAGCATAATTTATGTTGCTGTCATGTGTTCCATTAGTTTGCTAATGACTATGTCTATAACATGGCATACATAAAATATCTCCAGTTTGCAGTTGGCAATATATATATCTTTTTATTTGCACAGATAAGCACACATACACCGTGCTCTTCGACTACAAAGCACAAATGGCAGAGGATCTCAGTATCCAGAAGGACCAACAGTTGAAAATCCTTGATTACGGGTATATATTTTCATTTTCTCATTTATGTCTCTGATAATATATTCTCTTGTATATAGAAAAGAAATAGGACAAATGATGTTTATTTCAATATGCATATGGTGTTTATATAGCTACGTCTTCACGCAAGGCAATGTTATCAGAAATAATACCGTCTTTATAGTAAATGATATACTGTTCTTCTAAACCTACAGGAATGGACAGTGGTACAAGGCTCAGTCGTTAGACACCCTGGAGGTGGGGTGGGTTCCTTCAAACTACCTGACGCCTCTTGACGAACTGCAAGCACACGAGTAAATATTGACATCTATTTTTTTGGTTTGTTTGTTTGCATTCGTAAAATGTATAAAGTGTGTACATCTACGCCGGCTAGATCAAAACATGGGGCAATGGGAAGTTAAAAATACATTATGTCTGTGTTTGAGCAACATTGATGCCAATTCCTTGATGCAGGAGTTAGCTCACTATGAATACAATGTTCCTAATGTTAAAATTTTAAATCTTCAGATGCCACCATCTTACAGCATATCTCTGATATCATATTTTTCAATTGATTTTCATTTTATACGTAAAGATGGTTCGCAGGACCATTGGACCGAAGAGACACAGATAATCGTCTTCTTTCTGATGTCAACCCAGTCGGTACTTTCCTAGTGAGAAGTAGAGAAGACATCGGCGCCGGCGAAACAGGTAAGACTTATATTTTATATATTAGAAACCTTAAAATGACAATTCATTGTAACACTAATGATTACAAAATGTTTAACGGTCATGAAACTGTAACTGTAAAACTTACTGTTAAGTCTAATTTCTTGTTTTGAACATTACAGTTTAACTTGCAATTGATACATTGATACCAATGACCTTGCACCAGCTCAGATAAACTTTCAAGATAAGAATGTGTTGTTTTTCAGGCACACACATGTACACGATATCGGTGCTGCGCAACAAGACTGGAAACAACAGAGTGAACCACTTCAAGGTGCAAAAGTCCACTGAGGGAAAAGTGTTTGCTGTTGCTGGCGTGGAGTTTGACAGCCTGAAGGAACTGGTAGAACACTATCTTGGTATGTCAATGTACATGTATTCTTCTTAATTTCTCAGTTATTCTACATTTCTCTCACTCTACATTTCAGTCACGCGTAAATAATCTGGCTGCACTTATCTTTATGTTTACCTTCACAGAAGGAAAACACTTGTTTTTTGCTGTTTCCTATTCCACTTTTTCTCCAAACAAATAAGGTCAAGGACCTGAACCAGACGTCTGTCCCCATGGTAACTAATGTTGGGTTACATCATGTTGCAACTTTATAGCAGGAGGGATTTGGACTCCTGTCACCATATATATGGATGTGTTTGACTAAGAATTAGCAGAGCAGACCATATGCAAAGAACAAAATATGTACTTGCTTTGCACTTACCTTTCTAGTTTGTATGTACTTTCTGTAGCACTATACCACCAAGCAGAGTTACTTTGTTCTTGGTAGTTTTCACAATATTTTGCTTGTCACAGAGGAAGGTCGAATCGGCAGTTGCACAATGAGTACTCCATGTCCAGCAGCAAAGTCAGACGTTCCACAGTCACATGCCGAAATCTGGGAGATTTCACGAGACAACATCAGGCTTCAGAAGAAGATAGGACAAGGCAACTTTGGGGATGTGTTTCAAGGTCTGTCAATTTGGTACCATTCTTCAGCCAAAAATCTTTCAACGCAAAGTACAATAGAGTACAAAGAAGAGTAAAAATAACCGAGATAGAGTCTTTAGGATTAGATGAAGCAGCCAACTGAGGACACAGATTGCGCGCATGCGACGAATATTTAGATGATGCCGTTGAAGGTGGTTCATGGCTTGAATTTTCCCTGCACGATGTTAAAGTGAAATTTCGACCCATTCCGTTCTTTTGGGCTTTGGAAAGAAACGTGACGGTTGCAGTGAAG